TCCATCTTTTTTCTTTCGGATGGAGCTATTTTGGTGGGTTGGTTGTGATTTAGAGTTGATTAGTTGTTAAGGGATAGATGAGAAGGAGTTAGTTTGGGGTTTTGATGCAGACCAAATACCCATGCTATGTGGTGACAAATAACAATCTTTAGCGCTATTACATTAGCATGATGTAAGAGTTGTAATTGCTTTCCTGGTTGCATATCCAAACAATCTGACAGTTTCACCTCCAGCTCTGAGTTCGTGATAAAACAAACCAAAAATCTTAGTCAGGAGCACTGTTCTATATATCTCAAAGATGCAATCATATGTCCTACTTACATTTTACTTGATCTCCTGTTTGCTAGCTCACGCTTGTCTGCTTTTGCTTTGATAGCTTGCTGCATTGACTAAACTATTGAGAACTTATCTTTTCCTTGCAAATGGACATTGCTATATTCTTCCTGCTTCCCTTCAAATTGAAAATAATCAAAAACCCTGCCTTGGACTTTCAAAGGATCTGCTAACCAATTCTCTCTCTCCCTCAATCTTATGATTATTGGCTAGTTGATTACTGTTATTAGGTAATCCTTGCCTTGTATTAGAGCATGTTCCTTCTTTCCCTGCGTCCCTTTACCAAAACGTAAAACCTAGTAAACTGGAGAACTCTTTGATTTTCATTGTCCCTTGTTTTCACTATTGGTGCTGGTTGTAAAATTAAGAAAAGTTGGATTCTTCCACGGTCGTTACAACATAATATAATGTAGTTTTGAGGTATAGGTGCCATGATATTCTTTTATTTTTAGATGATATGAATAAGTGTTTTCTAAAGGCAAATAGAGAAACCACAACTATCACATGTTTTCTGTTTTTTTATTCATATACAGAGGAAGGCATGCTTGAGCAATTCATATACAAAGGTTTAGCATCAACTGGCTGCCGGCTGCTGTCATGATTTATTGCTTCCTTGTAGATCTGGGATTCAAGTGGTTGGAATAATTAGGAAAATTCACACGAGGACCACTTTGCTGTTTGCACGTCGTTAAGGTGGTAATTATTATTGAATTTTGGTGTTTGGTGCTTTTAGAAAAAATAGAAAGCTTGCATTTGCTGAAGGAAGGAATTTTGGTTTTGAGGGTACATGAGACTGAATTTCTCAAGAGAAAGAGCTCATGACAATGTCGGGAGCCTGTAGATTTATATATATGAGGCTATTGCAAATGCAAGGGTTTGGATGTTTGGATTGTCTTCCAACAACCACACCGTAGGGAAGGCGAATAATATCTCCAGAAGTAAAATTTACCTCTTCTGACCAAACTAATTTATGTATTTACTTTCTTTCCTGTTTCATTTACGTTGTAAATCTTCTTTGTTATTGGTATTCTCAGTTTTAGTGGGGAAGATTTGGTGATAGGCATTTACATAGCAGAGCAAATTGGTTTTACATTGACCTAGCCAGTTCTAACTGATGTTGCTATGGTGTTGCTCTGAATTTCGGACATGGTGAAGTTTTGTGCTTCTGTATTTAGAACTATATCTATTAATCATTCAAATTTTGAATGAAATATTCTGGAAATAATGATGGAAAATAGAAGTGCAGTCCTAAAAAAATAATGGTGTTTGCTGGGATCTGAATGCATTCAGATCAAACTTGGATTATAAGGTTCTTTGCACTCTGTATATCCTCTGAGAGGCATGGGCATGATGTAAAGAAATACGGTAGAAGTTTTCATTGCCACAATGCTAAAAGTTACAGGATCTCCAAATTTAACACTCTGTACTAAAGGTTCAATGTAGTATCTTATTAACTTCATTTTTTTCCGTTAATGATTCTACTTAAGAACTTGACTAATATTGTTTAAGAGCACAAGATTAACGATTAAGTTATGCAACTTAATGCACCATCTTTTAATGATTTTACTAGTATCTTAATTTTCAGAGATTTTCAAGACGTTATTTGGACTATAATAATTTGATGAAACACAAACTGATGAAATATTTGAAAACGTTCCATACTATCTCAATTGCCACAGTAGTTAGACTATTATTACTTCGTAATGTGGACAATTTAATGAAGAGCTTCCGTGAGCAAAACCATGGGATCGTTTGGTATGTGGGATAAGGTGGTGTAGAAATTGGGATTAAATTTATCTCATACTTAATTGTAGGGATTAGTTAATCCCGGGATAATTTTATACCACAATCTTGGATTATTTAATACCATCTCATAGCAGGATAAGATTCCAAAATTACCATGTTATCCTGTTAAGACCTTTCACTTTTCACTGTTTTTGAACTGATGAAATGTGTTTGGATTTTCATTCTAGTAGTCCTATTAATTCGAATTGAACTCCATTAACAATAACAGTACAACGAATGAACAGAGAATATGATATGGATTATAAACTTTATGTGATCAATTTTGGAACCGGCCTAGAACATTTTCTAAAAAACAAGCAGTGAACAATAATAAAGTAGTGATCCAATCTTTTGATTCTAGAATATTACAAGACAAGGATTATAACATTACAAAACTTCTATTCTATAGAGTTATATTATAGATCTCTTTTGGTTTTTGTGATATCCCCATCTTTATTCTTAAAAAAACTAAATATATCTAAGTCTCTAAAATAACTAAGGTTAAAAATTGAAACAAATGATTTGTTCAAGTTTATTTAGTTTCAAATCAAATACAAGTTTTGGGATTATACACGGTATATCCTATTTTTAATTCAATGAACCAAACAAAGCATTGGTACTTAATCCAGAGATTATTAATCCCAGGATTACAATCCATGAATTATAATCTCGAGATAACTCTGTAACCAAACGACCCCTATGGAGTTGAATATGGTTTTGTGAAGTTGTTGGCTTATCGATAATTCCTTTTGTTGTTGAGAGACTTTAATTTTTTTTTCTTCCATCAAACAAAAAACATTTGGGGGAATTACATATAAATACAACTCACACACATACATTGTAACTAAGTCGCTTATATTTAACTTCACAAAGCTGTAGCCAAAAAATAATAGGCTAAGATTCAACATTCAACTCCAAATAGGTTTTCGAAATTATTATTCAATTTTTTCAAAAAAATTCTCAAGCTTTTAATATAATTTTCGAATCTGTAATTTGGAGTGGATGTTGTTTAGACTTGTTAGAAATAATATAAGGAGGTTGTATACAAAATTTGAAGTCATTTAGTAAAGATTTAAACTGGTCCATCATTGTTAAACAAGCTTAAATAAGTTTATTTAAATTTCGAATCTGCTTTTGTGAGAAATTTGGAATGAGGGTCCTTTAGACTTGTTAGAAATAGCATAAGGAGGTTGTATACTAAATTTGAAGTCATTTAATGGAGATTTGGAATGATTTTGAACAAAAATTGCAACTGAAATGTTACATATCGCGTTTTCGTACGTTAAAATTTCGTTTTCAGTTAACCGACGTGAATTCGGGGATGATATTATCTTGATGTTAACATATTTATGCTATTTGTAACAAGCGATAAATAAGTGTCATGAAGGATAAAGGGTATACGAATTAAAGAAAACGAGTTTCGTTGAAAGTGGCCAATTTGGAGTAAAATATGGGTCGAGCGATAATACCCGATAATTACGAACTAGTACCATGCAAGGTACCATATGACCACGGTAGTATAATATATAAAGTATATATATGAAGTATATTAAAACTAAATAGATTTTTAAAGTAATTTGGGGTAATTTTTAAATTATACGGATAATTGGTTAATTACCGAATAACGAAACATTACCCAATTAACTAATAAGTGGGTAAAGATTACTAATCTTCGCCCACTCTCCACGTGGCACAAAGCCACCAATTTAAAAGGGTGACTCATAACTCTTGTAAATAGGTGTCTTACACCTAAGGAATAAGAAAAGTTTATTTTATCGAGATAACTCCTCGAAGGAATCTGACAATCCACAAATGTGATATTATCACAAATTGATATCAAATCCATTCCAAGGCTAGAAACAGAAGCAAATCAAACCAAGAACGTAGGAACAAAATAAATTCCATTTGCATTCTGTCTTTGAACCAAAAACGTGAAAAGCAGAATAATTTCGTTCAACAATTCAAAATTTTCAATTGAAATTTCAAAGAAGCCACCAAATTTCGTTTCAAAATTTCAAGGGATTCAGGCAGAATTTCATTCTAACATATTTCACGGAAGCAGAAGCTTTATTCCGTTCAAATAATTCCAGGAATATATATGTTAAGGCCCTCCATTCTTTCTTTTGGCATGGTCCAAATTATATTGAAGAAACGAACAAATACACAGTTTCCATAAATTACTCTATTCATAGAATTATTAGGGGTGTCTATATTCTTGATTCCCCATGATAATTTTCTGTTCATGAGTCTCAGAATAATACGCAGTTGGAAAAATTTATCCGGAAGAAATATTGAGATTATTACGTATTTTTCATGCATTTCACTCATGTGCATTGACCCATGACCAGATGACGTTATATACGCATATATATGTAAATATATGTATATGGGATATGTGAAAAGTTTACGGCGTTATATACGCACCACCACCTGATCAGCTGGTATATGTTGATGATATTGTCCACAGTGACCGAGATGATATGATGGGATGCCATCAGTGGCTTGATGATATGATGTACACCCATACCTATGCATGACACGATATTTATACGCACGTGCATGACATTATAAACGTTTCAGAATTTACAGAGTTATTCAGATTTAAAGATAGTGTTTCTGCATTCCATGTTTCATCTATGTCTTTTACATACTAATTTTCATGCCTTATATACTCAGTACATTTTTCGTACTGATGCCCTATTTCACGGGGGTCCCCCTTCTTAGGATCCTTGATCAGCGAGAGTTGGCGTGCTTCACTTGATCTGGAGCTGCTTTTGAATTTGGTACGATACGTTTTTGTGTGTGTGTATATATATCCCGTCTTTATACAATTATGTTTCCATTAGAGATCTGTAGACAGTATGTCTAGTTGGGTTGTATGTGGCTTTGTCGGCTTTCAATTTTGGATGTATAGTTCTCTATAGCAGCCTTGCCGGCTTTCCCACTGTATTCTGCCTGTATACGTACATATGCCTTGTTGACAGGTTTTCTTCACATATGTTATTGTCGTAATTCAGCAGATGTTATTCATATTTATATCTTAGACGTATACTTAGGGGTGGACGACAGGTAGGATTCAGGCACCCGTCGCGGCCCATCGGTTTAGGTCGTGACATGAAAATCGTGGAAGAAGTTCCTATACAGACGTTTTGTATAAAGATATATAAAAGAGTATAATAGTATATAAGAGGTATTTATATACACATATACACTATTATATAATATTATACATCATTATACAAAAACTTACTAGTCTTCTTCTTTGCGTTTTTTCTGAAATTTATCTCAAATATTGCTCAAATCTAATCCAAATCACTTCAAATTTTAATTTTGAACTCCTCTTGATATTTTCAATTAATCGGACCAACATCCGATCCAAACAACTAACAAACTTAAAAAATGCTATTTTCGAAATCGAAGTTTTGAATGTTATTCGATAGTCTATTCTTTAATTTTCTCTTCTTCAATTTTCTTACGTCCACCCGCAAACACTGCAAGTAGGTTTGCAAATCTGTAACCCAAACGATAATAGGCCAAGGTTTTAAAGAAATTAATTTTTGGCACACAATCAACTACTATTTGTAGCAGAAAATGCAAAGCAGAAGCTTCAGACAACTAAATCGGATAGCTATCAATAATTTCTTTTCAAATCATGACACATTGGGCTAAGCCGGTTAAAGATTTGAAATATGGGCCAATTTGCGTTATGTGGTCTAAGTGTAATTGTTCCAAAACATTTCAATTATCCAGCAGTTCAGAAATGACATGAACTTTTAAAATGCAAAGATGGAGAAACCGAATCCGGCAACATCAGTTGAAACAACACAAAATAGTAGGACATTAAGAAGAGGTAATAAAGAGTATTTTCATGTACTTGCACATTTTGGCACCTATTTACACGATCAGAGTCTCCAGTTCTGCCCTGTAAAATTCTTTTCCTTTGATCTGTTGTTTCTGTCACTGATCTTTCAAAACTTTGGCGAGAGCATCAAAAACACCCTGTAAAGTAACATCCTCGACAATGAGGACCTTATCCCTGGATTTCGACCCAGAACCTATAGAAACTTGTCTTCTTTTGACCCCAACAACGGAGCTTATATAATCGATTAGGGCAGCATTAGCTTCACCATCTTTAGCAGGTGCGTCAATTTGGACACCAACTGCATCGTCATCCAAGTCAGTGACGGTCGCGATTTTCGACCCTGGCTTGGCGTGGATCGTGATGGCGACGGACGACGGAGGAATGGCGCGGAAGCACGCCGGAATTTTGGGAGTTGATACAGCCGGCTGAGTTAACTCGGCTGAGTTGCTTTTACCTTTGCTTTTCTTCGAGGGAGGCATCTCTAATCTAAAGAATGGATACCTGTCAGAGACTTTAATTATCAGAACCGGGGAATATTAATATTTAACCCGACATATCTAAGAAGTATATTCATTCTTTTTTAAGAAAAAAAAAACAATCATTAAAAACT